TTTTTATTTTATATAAAATAAACGAGTACAGTTAATTTTCTTGACAGTAAACTTAACTTTTTTTTATTTATTTTTTATTTACTTTTTTCATTTAAGCAGTAATCTGCTTTATTGTTTTGCCTTTTTTTATATAAAGATCATAGAGAGAAAATTATATAGAGAGAATTTTATTATTTTATCTTTGTAGACAGTCAGTGAGACTGAGAGACAGATAGATAGATAAAAATGGATGGACTACCCCTTCTGCACAGGTCTATTATTCTCATGACGTAGCAAAGAAATAACAGAGCAAAGCACTTTTTTTAAAACAATTTCAATATCGTGATAATACCATATACTGTAATAAAAGCATTAGCAATTAATCGCAACATGAAAATTTGATACCGGCATATCCCTAGCGCAAACATAGACGCATTTATGTAGATTGGGGGCGCATTCCCTTCAGAAACAATGTAATCCATTGTGAGTAAATGACTACTGCTATGTTCATTATTACATCCAACAACAGAACACCTCAATCTCGTAGGAGTCATTCTTGTCTACATCTGCTCCGGCGGTGAAACAATGGAGGACTGATGACAGCTCACTCAGGGCGGGTCTAAGGTAACACACCAGTCCAGTCTGTGCTGAAACGCTACTGTCAATCAAACTATCATGGGCGGGGCCTGTTTTTGTGACATCACACAGACAGGCATCTGAGATCGGCTCAATTTGAAAAGGGGAAAACATTTAACCAGATTAAAAAAAAACACTGGGTGGATTTTTATCATTATAGGGTGGTTGTGTACACACACTGCCAACACACATTTCAGTTCAAACAACTTGTAAAAGTGCATGTAGCATCCTATGACCCCTTTAAGTGTCACATGATCCTGCAGAAATCATACTAATGTGCTGATTTGCTGCTCAAGAAACGTTTTCTATCAATGTTGAAAATAATTGAGCTGCTTAATATTTTCTCCGCCTTGATGGATTCGTCATGTAATTAAACAGCAACAATGCTAATATTCCTTATCCTCTGTCTCTGACATAAGTTGCTTTTGTCGATAAAGGAAATAAACTTGTAAAAGGTCCACCGTCTTTATAAACCGCTAACATACGTGGAGAGACCGTTGATCAAACGGCTGATCAAGCAAGCAATCAAAACTTTGAGGCAGTGCATAATTTCATAATATTGGAAATATATTTATAGTATAAATTAATGGAGTATAGCGTATGAGAAAACAATCGAGATAAGAGAAAATAACTGGCATGATTCGTGGAGTGACTACCTCCGCTCGTGACAGTGGTGCCCTGTCTGTTTGATCGCCGTTCAACAGCACGCGAGGAGCGGGCGTGAGAAACGAGAGGCGTGGCCGCGATCCTGTCTTCTTTTCTTTGTCGTAAGGCAAAATGCACCGAGATAAGTGATGGATTCACATACCGGACTCGATAGCAGACGCAAGTTTACTGTGGGCTGCAACGACCCTCAAAATCTGATTAATTTTCATTTTTAATTATAATAAACACCTCTCTGAGACCTGACGACACACCCGCTGTTTCTGTCTTTGTTCAATCAGTCACATAATTGTAACTGTAGGTGCACTTTATTTTCTTTAAACCTCCTCACCTGTAAATTTAAAATTAATCCCTAATTGAGATTTAAATCTGATTTTAAAGATATGGAGCAACATGATTAAAGTTAATCTATCTTAAATATAAATTAAATCCAGGATCAAGATGATGGTTTAAATGTAAACCTGTTTATTTTTTAAACAAGGTTTAAAGTTTGGTGCAACAGAGTTATTAAATAAACCTGGATTTAAATTAGATTTTAGATTAATTAATCTGAAATGGATAGCCTACAAAAAATATGAACAAAAGCAAAGCAGAAATAATGAGAAAATGATGTTCGTATTCAAATGTTGAATCAATGCTGAATGGTCTGATTTAATTCATAGTTCAAGATTGACCTCTGACTATCAGCATATTTGTTAGACAGGAAATGGAAGTGTGATTGACATGTACAGTGGGTACGGAAAGTATTCAGACCCCCTTAAATTTTTCACTCTTTGTTATATTGCAGCCATTTGTTAAAATCATTTAAGTTCATTTTTTTTCCTCATTAATGTACACACAGCACCCCATATTGACAGAAAAACACAGAATTGTTGACATTTTTGCAGATTTATTAAAAAAGAAAAACTGAAATATCACATGGTCCTAAGTATTCAGACCCTTTGCTGTGACACTCATATATTTAACGCAGGTGCTGTCCATTTCTTCTGATCATCCTGGAGATGGTTCTACACCTTCATTTGAGTCAAGCTGTGTTTGATTATACTGATTGGACTTGATTAGCAAAGCCACACACCTGTCTATATAAGACCTTACAACTCACAGTGCATGTCAGAGCAAATGAGAATCATAAGGTCAAAGCATGGGCGGGGCCTGTTTTTGTGACATCACACAGACAGGCATCTGAGATCGGCTCAATTTGAAAAGGGGAAAACATTTAACCAGATTAAAAAAAAACACTGGGTGGATTTTTATCATTATAGGGTGGTTGTGTACACACACTGCCAACACACATTTCAGTTCAAACAACTTGTAAAAGTGCATGTAGCATCCTATGACCCCTTTAAGTGTCACATGATCCTGCAGAAATCATACTAATGTGCTGATTTGCTGCTCAAGAAACGTTTTCTATCAATGTTGAAAATAATTGAGCTGCTTAATATTTTCTCCGCCTTGATGGATTCGTCATGTAATTAAACAGCAACAATGCTAATATTCCTTATCCTCTGTCTCTGACATAAGTTGCTTTTGTCGATAAAGGAAATAAACTTGTAAAAGGTCCACCGTCTTTATAAACCGCTAACATACGTGGAGAGACCGTTGATCAAACGGCTGATCAAGCAAGCAATCAAAACTTTGAGGCAGTGCATAATTTCATAATATTGGAAATATATTTATAGTATAAATTAATGGAGTATAGCGTATGAGAAAACAATCGAGATAAGAGAAAATAACTGGCATGATTCGTGGAGTGACTACCTCCGCTCGTGACAGTGGTGCCCTGTCTGTTTGATCGCCGTTCAACAGCACGCGAGGAGCGGGCGTGAGAAACGAGAGGCGTGGCCGCGATCCTGTCTTCTTTTCTTTGTCGTAAGGCAAAATGCACCAAGATAAGTGATGGATTCACATACCGGACTCGATAGCAGACGCAAGTTTACTGTGGGCTGCAACGACCCTCAAAATCTGATTAATTTTCATTTTTAATTATAATAAACACCTCTCTGAGACCTGACGACACACCCGCTGTTTCTGTCTTTGTTCAATCAGTCACATAATTGTAACTGTAGGTGCACTTTATTTTCTTTAAACCTCCTCACCTGTAAATTTAAAATTAATCCCTAATTGAGATTTAAATCTGATTTTAAAGATATGGAGCAACATGATTAAAGTTAATCTATCTTAAATATAAATTAAATCCAGGATCAAGATGATGGTTTAAATGTAAACCTGTTTATTTTTTAAACAAGGTTTAAAGTTTGGTGCAACAGAGTTATTAAATAAACCTGGATTTAAATTAGATTTTAGATTAATTAATCTGAAATGGATAGCCTACAAAAAATATGAACAAAAGCAAAGCAGAAATAATGAGAAAATGATGTTCGTATTCAAATGTTGAATCAATGCTGAATGGTCTGATTTAATTCATAGTTCAAGATTGACCTCTGACTATCAGCATATTTGTTAGACAGGAAATGGAAGTGTGATTGACATGTACAGTGGGTACGGAAAGTATTCAGACCCCCTTAAATTTTTCACTCTTTGTTATATTGCAGCCATTTGTTAAAATCATTTAAGTTCATTTTTTTTCCTCATTAATGTACACACAGCACCCCATATTGACAGAAAAACACAGAATTGTTGACATTTTTGCAGATTTATTAAAAAAGAAAAACTGAAATATCACATGGTCCTAAGTATTCAGACCCTTTGCTCAGTATTTAGTAGAAGCACCCTTTTGATCGAATACAGCCATGAGTCTTTTTGGGAAAGAGGCAACAAGTTTTTCACACCTGGATTTGAGGATCCTCTGCCATTCCTCCTTGCAGAGCCTCTCCAGTTCTGTCAGGTTGGATAGTAAACGTTGGTGGACAGCCATTTTTAGGTCGTCCACCAACGTTTACCATCCAACCTGACAGAACTGGAGAGGATCTGCAAGGAGGAATGTCAGAGGATCCCCAAATCCAGGTGTGAAAAACTTGTTGCATCTTTCCCAAAAAGACTCATGGCTGTATTAGATCAAAAGGGTGCTTCTACTAAATACTGAGCAAAGGGTCTGAATACTTAGGACAATGTGATATTTCAGTTTTTCTTTTTTAATAAATCTGCAAAAATGTCAACAATTCTGTGTTTTTCTGTCAATATGGGGTGCTGTGTGTACATTAATGAGGAAAAAAAATTTACTTAAATGATTTTAGCAAATGGCTGCAATATAACAAAGAGTGAAAAATTTAAGGGGGTCTGAATACTTTCCGTACCCACTGTATATAAACCAGCCAAAATGTTGTTTATAATGGCAAACCAAATAAAAACTAAATAAAAGTACTAATAAAAAAATTAATGAAAGAATTATAAACTTATAAAAGTCATTTTACAAAAAAAAATATTAATAAATAAAAAAAGAACTAAAACTGAACTGATGTTGAAAACCAAAATAAAAAAATTGAAATAGTGAAAATTTAGTGGAAAACTGACTCTAACACAAATTAATTAGACAAAGATAAATATTTCCCTTAGGTTAGAAAATATTGTTGAAAGAATGTGTCATCCATCCCTTCATCTAATTACCAAGTTCAATCAGAATAAGTGATTAGGGATGGAGCTCCCCTGTCAGTTGGTTTTCAGGTTCAGCAGCTAATTAACGGATTGGAAGCCAGTGAAAGCTCTTTTCTGAGGAGCAAAGAAAGTACTCACCTTTCCTATGGTTTTAGTAAAACAAGGGAGGATAGCAGGTGTTTACTGCAGAGTTTCTGTACGTCCAGCAAATGCTGCTCAGGGAAGTCCTCATCGACATCAGAGCTGTGAGATAAAAAAAAATCACAAGAAATCAGTCAATAAATCAGAAAATTGGAAGACTACGCTGGGACTGTTTTAGCTTAAATTAAAATCATTTTATGGCAACATTAACGCATTAAGTATCTCTCATAACCTTTGGATACTGCAACCGTTGTACAACATTTATTTTATTACAAACCACATGGGAATGTCTACGACTCATTGCACTTTTGTGCCGACTGAGGCAGATATATTTAGAAGACTTCCCATTTCCATCTATATGTTAATGCAACCAAGAGCAACAGAATCGCAGTTTGAAATATTATGTGCCAAGCGGGGCATGAAATTGAGCCAGACAAACAAACAAAGGATTTTACCTCTCATGTGTCTGCTGCATCTAATAATAAAAAGTGTGCTTGACAAGGTGAGAGAAATCAGGTTCTCGTAAAAGAGACAGTATATCCACAGCCAGAACCATTTGGCGACACAAACAAAGCCGCGTGAGATCACTGTCACAGCGCCGGGAGAAAATAGAAAATTTATTATTTCGCAATGAAAAGGAACAGCAAACAACTTTGCAAAATACTATAATCTCAGGGGCCTAATCTTTCTTGCAAAAAATGAGAGAAAGAGAGAGATTTACTTCTCAGGTCAATCTCATGAAAGCTATACAAAAGTCATATTTTACCCCTCAAAAAGTAATTAAAATTTGTTGACAAAATACATTTTATAATTACACGTCATGATGAATGATTGTTTACAGTAAAGGATTTGTACATCATGGCAATATTTGTTGTACTGCCTTTAATTTTTTTTTTTAGAATCACACTACCATTCAAAAGTTTGGGATCAGTTTAATTGTTTTTAAAAGAAATTATTGTTTTTCAGCAAGAGCACATTAAATTGATCAAAAGTGGCAGCAGAGACATTTACAATGTTAGAAGATTTCTATTTCAAATAAATGCTGTTCTATTGAATTTTCTATTCATCAAAGGATCCTGATAATAATATGTTTCTTACCATATCAAAATAGAATTATTTCTGAAGGGACATGTGACACTGAAAACTGAGTTTGTGTGTGTGTTTTTTTTTATTGTAATATTTCACAGGGTTACACTTTTTGCCATATTTTTGATTAAATTTAGCCTGGGTGAGCACAAGAGACTACAAAATATTTTGAAAAACTTACTGACCCAAAACTTTTGAAACGTAGTGTATATTTCAGTAATTTATTCTACTATAGTTAGGGATGTAACGATTCACTCAACTCACGATTTGATTCGATTCACCTTTTTATTTATTTTTTTTACAAAATGAGATTTAAGACAAATTATAAATTAAATGTGTCCTTTTATTATTGCTTGGACAAAATGCTGCACATTTCTTTGTGAAATTGAAATATAACACTATAATATACTAATATAGCACTTGCATATTATTGCTGTTTTGTTGGTTTTGATTGCTTCTATTGTCTCATTTGTAAGTTGCGTTGGATAAAAGCGTCTGCTAAATAACAAAATTTAAGTATAATGTAAATGTAAATAACAAAACTAAATTGAAGTTTTAAAACAAGCACCAAATCAAATAAATAAGTAATACAAATAAAAGACATCTCTTCATATAAACAAACTAAGGCTCTGTCTGTGCTCTTTCCTTTTAAAATTAGAGGCAACCACTGCATTTGAATCATGATCCAAAAAAAGATGCTGCATACATGCAACATGAGCAGTTTTAATCTAAATTGATTGTATGATTGTAAATAAATCTGAAGCAAAAACATAATGGTTCTTAAAAACATTTGCATGAAACAGAAACAGCAGAGGAGCTGAATGAGACGCAGATTCCCTCTCTGCCAGCAGGTGGCGCTTAAAGCGTTTCCTGGTTTCCGCTGTAAACAAAGCAGCGCTGCACTTATGAACTTTAATATGCATTATACAGAGGCGAGATGAAAATGAAAAATACCATCTAAACTTTTCTAAAGACAGTAAGTTCCCCTCAGATATACACTCATATTGTTTAGCATCTCAACCGATTTGAATCATCACATATTTGAATCAATTTTCAACCGGCTCGCGGTTAATCATTACATCCCTAACTATAGTACAAAATTCTATTATAGTACTGTATTTCAATGAGTTATAATTGAGAACAATAAGAATAAAAAAAAGTTAAGTCTTTTGATTCCGATAAGAATTTTAGTAAAAAAAAAAAAAAGTAAATTTTTTATCCCCTCTCTCAAAATAATAATACGTTTCTTACCATATCAGCATATTAGAATTATTTCTGAAGGGTCATGTGACACTGAAACCTGAGTTTGTATTTTTTTTAAATTGTAATATTTCACAGTGTTTTTGCCATATTTTTGATTAAAGAATACGTTTCTTACCATATCAGCATATTAGAATTATTTCTGAAGGGTCATGTGACACTGAAACCTGAGTTTGTATTTTTTTAAAATTGTAATATTTCACAGTGTTTTTGCCATATTTTTGATTAAAGGGGTCATATGATGCGATTTCAATTTTTCCTTTCTCTTTGGAGTGTTACAAGCTCTTGGTGCATAAAGAAGATCTGTAAAGTTGCAAAGACTGAAGTCTCAAATCCAAAGAGATATTCTTTATAAATTTAAGAGTCAGCCACACCTACCTAAAACGGCTTGTTCTAACACGCCCCCACATATCTACGTCACAATGTGGGAAGATTTGCATAACGCCGCCCAAATGTTCACGCAAAAGAAAGAAGGCATAACTTTTATTCTCGCTGTAGTATTGTTGTTGCCGCCGCCGCCATGTCGTGAAGGTGCCGTGTTTCATTGTGAAAGCGAAACTACTATGTTTGGCCTTCCAAAAGAGGACGATATCCGCTTCGTCATGCCTAGAGCTGATCCGTGATGGTCGCTGAGGAAATACATCAACTTCAACATCCTTTAGACGTAGTGCTGAAATCTGACCCTGACAAGTTAATGACAGATTTCCAGAGATTCGCCAACTTCTCTCATACAGCCAAGCAAGCACAAAATGTGGCTGTAACAGAGTTTGAACTACCCAATGCGGGAACTGAATAATCAAGGTTGTAGACTGTGATCTGCTACGTTACATTCAGCCTGAGCAGGACTGGCAGGAGAATTCAGCCTGAGCTATGTGAGCAGGAGCTGAGTCAGAACTTCTGGCCAAGAGAAGAGCCTGTGGAGTTGGCATGTCTCTGCCACATAAAGCACAAACACGAACTGCCACAGATCTGCTAACTCTGCTCATGGGCCAACTCCTCTCCATGTACAGACTCTGACCTAAGTATGCAGCAATGTGAGGAACTGAACCTGACAAACAACACAGACACCGGGAGAAACACAACTGTGAAATAGGGAAATAAATGTCTTCTCTTTTCCATAACCGAAAAGGAGAAGGAAGGTAATGTGTGTTGATAAAGATTAAATTGTACAGATTTAGCAAACGGATCCTTCGTAGAATGCATACATACACATTCATCATATTTGCATACTAGTAGTAGCATTTAATTCATGCTGATTTGATAAAATTACACAAAAGATATTTTGAACAATGTTGGTAACCGAACAGTTGATGGTAGCCACTGACTTCCATAATATTATTTCTAATCTATACTATGGAAGTCAATGGCTACTATCATTCTTCAAAATAACGAAAGTCATACAGGTTTGGAACAACATGAGGGTGACTAAACGATCACTGAATTTTCATTTTTGGGTGAACTATCTCTTTAAGCAGCACAATTATTTTCAACATTGATAATAATAAGAACAAGACTCGAGTTGAATGCTGGGAGCCGTTTGAGGAGCACTTGTCACATGGATTTAAGTGACCCCAACCGCAGAGCACTGAGAGACAACGAAGCCTCAAAGTCAAGGGTGGGCAGGAATGTCCTGAATAGATGGTTACATAAAAACCCTCAGCATGATGCTTTTTTCCAGGCCGCAGCACTAAAGGACAAGACTGCAGAGTTTAGCAGGAGTCGTTCTATTTCAGCTCTTCCTAAAGCACAAATTTTCGTAGCGCTTTCATGAAGAACAGTTAACAAAGGACCAATTCATGTAGGTTCATGTTAGGAAATCATCATGCATTCAATGCATTTATTCATTTGTATGAGAATTGTAACCGTATGCATCTCAAACATGATGACCTTGCTTGACCATGCTTTTACCACTAATGCTTAACTAGTTGAGCGATGGGAACTAGTAACCAAGTGCAATAGATGCAGCTGAAGTTCAGCTGCTTTTCTGTTATTACAGAGCGTTTTGGAAATTAAAATGATTAATGTTATCATCAAGTGATATTCTTTCGGTGATTGTCTAAAATTGATTAGATTCTCATATACAATGCATTAATGGGGGCGTAATGAATTCTTTGGGTTCTGACTCATTTCACATGTCAACCAACAATAGGCTATGCATATTTAAGCACTTTTGGTCCACTACAGGCAAACAGGAAATGCACTATAAATAATAAAAAATAACAACACCTTTTAAGGGTCATGTGAAAAAATCAAGCGAGCAACTGGAGGTCAACAAGACAGGGTCGTGGCACTAAAGTAGTGACCTGACCCAGATATTAACCCAGCTTCCAGATGTGAAGAGGCCTCTGGATTACAGCATCAACGTACTACAATACACATGCTTTATTTTTACTGAGCATTCCTAAAATCAACACTGCTTTCATCCCGCAACTTTTGTGATGCTCTCCCTCTGTTTATGAAGGATATGGAATATTACAATGCTAATAAAAAACAACACCAAAATACACCCAGAGTAAGACATCTCTTTTTTTTAATTTATGATTTTTACTTTTTTTATTTTTATTGATTTTCTTATTTGCAAATAAGAACTAATATAAACAACCATGCACTTGACATATAAACAAACCACTAAAACAAAAACAAAACATCTCCTTTAACATTCTCTTCTCATTTTATTCTTCTGCGTATGATTGAGTTCACTGAGACTACAATTTTTTTTATTCATTTGTGATAGGTGGGATTTAAAAATAGATTTACAGAGGTTGCAATTTCTAGTCAATGAAATACTAGGTAAAAAAATATTCTTAAATCGATCTCCCTCTATTTATTTCAATGGCTTTTGCAATTCCTGAAATTATTTTTATTAATGACTTGATATTTGTAGTTGACTTTGTGAACACTTTAATTGGTGACTGCTTGTTTTTTCTTTCTTTCTTCTATCTTTGTATTTTGTAGAAATTAATTATATTTACAATGCAGATCTTAGTTTAACTTTGATAACCAATCTGTAGAACAATTTTTAAATTATAGTTTTGTTTTTGCTTTGACAATATTAAACAATCATTATACTACAACATTACAAATAATTATCATTACTATTAATAATACTAATGCTATTTGTGTAACTATAAGTATTTGCTATCTAATTTATTTATCTTTGTTTTGGGCTATGCCTACATTTTAGAAAATGATTTATATTAATATAAAATCAGTTAAATGGCATTTAAAGTATAATGTTTCCAAACTCCTGTATCTCTAAAAAAAAAAAAAAAATGTGTAACGCCTTCAACATTTATTTGGAGACTCACAGAGTTATTGCACAACTGAAATGTGAACTCTATGGATGGGGGATCGACAAATTTAAGGGCATGTGAAGTTAACGGTGTTGTGACATCAATTCGTTCTCGTCCTGTGCAACAAAGTCTATCATTTCAAAAGTATATTTAGAATTCAAATTGAATTTAGCATGCATCAATGTCCACAAAATGCACCAGTCACGACGTGATCCCTATCCACACTGATATGAGAGAATTTAACTCTTTAAATGCAACAATGTAGCTATTGTGGCCATTGCATTCTTGTTAACCTTCCCATTTCTGTGGCTTGTCGGCGTTCTGTGCAAGTTGCAAACTTCATTTCGCGGTCAAATTTATTGGCGACATCGCATTTTCTAACACGTTCAAAACTCAGACACGTCCCGGGACAAACTATTGCAAGTTTCATCGGCCTAGCTAAGTCGTTTAAAATGACAAGAGATCAAATATGGATATAAAATAATCAAAATGTCGTTGTCTACTGTACCATTTTGATCCGGGGTCTCTAGCATCGAAGGAGTCTGCGAATAACTCCCATTTGCGCAGGACTTCCGCTCGCCATGTAATAGTACGCTGGATTTTCACATTTCTTCAGTTTTCTTTCCCCTCACAGTTTTTTTTCCGCCGTGCTAGCAGCATTCAGACAGACAAAAATGCAGAGGCTGCTTTTGCAGTAGGAATTGGTGATTGGAGCTCAGGGATCATATGGGCTTTTGTCAGAAGTTTTAAAGGGCCATTGCACTGGATATTTTTATTTGCATGTCTGAGCTCTAGTCTACATCTACTGCTAAAAATGAGTAATCAATACGAGCTGCCCTTATGGGGACATGGAGCATTTGTGTCCCAGGTGCTCATGACCTTGCATGTTTGACGGCGTCTCACTGTGTGCATGAGAGCATGCGGAATCCTGAAAATCCAGAGCAATTATAGCCCTTGTGTTCGAATATGTATACTTTTTTTTTAATAAACAGCGAGGTGGATGTCTGAAAATACAGTATTTGTGAAACGGCAGGCAAACTAAACCCAGATGACATACTGCACCTGCTGAGATTCTTTAGTGAGCAACCAGTAAACACTATCACATGAGTTCACAGGAGTGAAGGAACTGTTAGAAAAAAAAAAAAAGATTTTCGAAAATGGAGAAATGTGATCTGAGCTCTTATGTTTAAGTACTTTAGATACCAATAAAATTGCTCTTTCTGGTTAAACTGTACTTTGATGATTGCTAGTATGTGTAGTATATCTAGAAATGCATGCAGTTTATACTAAATAACAATTTAGAACAACAGCCAAAAGTGAATTCTTCATAAGAGAACTGTTCATACTCTGACAGTACATTTGGATGCAGTAGTATCAGTGCAGTGGTTGTCAATTCTGATCCTAGTGTACCCCAGCAATTTTGGATGTACAGTATCCCCAGGACTAAATCAAAAAGCAGACCTGCTTGTAGTGGTCAATACTTACAGACATGTTTGAGATGGACTTTTATCCACATTCTAATGCATCATACTCAATTTTGTGTAGGAAGTAGGAAGAACACATTTCACAGAATACACATTATACAGCACACACGAAGGATTTCACAAACAAATGTAGTTTTATTTACAGTTGGTATATTTAAATGGTGTATCAATAAGCAGCAGTAGATACATTCAGCAAGATGTTTTGTTTTGATGTACAAATAAAAAAAACAATGCACAGAGGGCAACCACAAAACATTCATTTGGCCAAAACTAAACAATTTCAATCCATGTCTACCATTGATTTGTTTAATAAAACTGCATGACATGTCAAAACATGACATTTACATTTCACGGAATTTCATGTTCAAAAGACTGAGGTAAGTGGCTGTTGATATATAACATAGGCTTTACAGTTGGAGGGTTTCTATGCTCCATTTCTTAGGAATACTAAAAAAGTGTGCCAGAATAAAGCAGTGACTAATTTTGTTTCAAATGTACATTCATACATAGACTCATTTGGAAAAATACAGCAGAATGTATGTGAATTACACATTAAATGATTATACAGTGTACATCAAAGTACATACATTCGTTCAGAAAACCATTTGAAGGAGGATAGGGAGGGTTAATGCTACATCAATTCAGCTCAGCTGTATCGACTGCTTCGGCTATGACTTCGCCTCCTAGAGGAACTGCGACTGTAAGAGCGATATGACCTGAACGTGAAGACACACATCAGAGAATTAGCTTCAGTGAGGCACATTATCAAATTCAAACAAGACAGTTTTAATAATACATGGATTTATTTATGATGTACCTGGACCTGCGGTCAGAGCTCTCACTTCTCCGATGCCCTCTTCTCCTGCTACGACTGCGGCTAGAATAACTATCAGAAGAGTCAGACCTGTATTTCCATGAACAAAAGACATAATTAAGCGACACTAGGTTGGTTGCAATCAAAATGCATTAATCATTTTGGCTCCATGCTTACCTTGATCTGTGGCGACCTCTGTGGCGACTTCTAGAATGACTTGTACTGTCTGTACGGCTAAAACAAGATCACCACGGTATCTTCAAAACATTTTAATCCCCATTAGACATATATCAAAGATAAATATCTTTCAGTACTTACCTACGGGAACTTCGGAAGGTGCTACTTCGAGAACGAGAGTGTCCTCTGCTGTATCTACTCCTGCTTCTACTTCTACTGTAGCTCCTGTGTGAACAATTAAAACATGCAAAATTGACTTGACATGGACGATTGGACATACAAAGTCATAAAACATTGTCTGTTGTAACCAACCTGGAAGAGTAGGTGTAGCTTCTGGACCTGCTCCTGGAGTGGCTATATGAATGAGACCTACTTCTGCGGTGGGACCTGTGACTGGACACAGACCTTGACTTGTTCTGAGAGTGGGATCCAGCCCTTTCTCCTGTTGCTGGAATAGAGTCTTCTTCACTTGAGCTGTCTTGATTTCTGGGTACAGCAGAATGTATGTGAATTACACATTAAATGATGATACAGTGTACATCAAAGTACATACTTCAAACTTAAACTGAGCCATTCGTTCAGAAAACCATTTGAAGGAGGATAAGGAGGCTTAATGCTACATCAATTCAGCTCAGCTGTATCGACTGCTTCGGCTATGACTTCGCCTCCTAGAGGAACTGCGACTGTAAGAGCGATATGACCTGAACGTGAAGACACACATCAGAGAATTAGCTTCAGTGAGGCACATTATCAAATTCAAACAAGACAGTTTTAATAATACATGGATTTATTTATGATGTACCTGGACCTGCGGTCAGAGCTCTCACTTCTCCGATGCCCTCTTCTCCTGCTACGACTGCGGCTAGAATAACTATCAGAAGAGTCAGACCTGTATTTCCATGAACAAAAGACATAATTAAGCGACACTAGGTTGGTTGCAATCAAAATGCATTAATCATTTTGGCTCCATGCTTACCTTGATCTGTGGCGACCTCTGTGGCGACTTCTAGAATGACTTGTACTGTCTGTACGGCTAAAACAAGATCACCACGGTATCTTCAAAACATTTTAATCCCCATTAGACATATATCAAAGATAAATATCTTTCAGTACTTACCTACGGGAACTTCGGAAGGTGCTACTTCGAGAACGAGAGTGTCCTCTGCTGTATCTACTCCTGCTTCTACTTCTACTGTAGCTCCTGTGTGAACAATTAAAACATGCAAAATTGACTTGACATGGACGATTGGACATACAAAGTCATAAAACATTGTCTGTTGTAACCAACCTGGAAGAGTAGGTGTAGCTTCTGGACCTGCTCCTGGAGTGGCTATATGAATGAGACCTACTTCTGCGGTGGGACCTGTGACTGGACACAGACCTTGACTTGTTCTGAGAGTGGGATCCAGCCCTTTCTCCTGTTGCTGGAATAGAGTCTTCTTCACTTGAGCTGTCTTGATTTCTGGGTCTCTGATTTAACCGAGCTGTCTTTCGTACCTCATCAAATAAGGATCCTGGACGGACTCTACTCTTGCTCTTGATCTCAATCTTGAGACCCTGGGCCTTTCCCTCCAGATGATCTTGCATTTTATTTATTTTCATAATTAAAGGTTTTGTAGTAATGGCATGCACAACAGTCATGCCTGTCAAAGGTTTCCATTTATTTTCAACTGCTGAGAGAGAAGTGTCACCAGGTACATATTCCTCTGGCTGACTGCCTTGAGGTAAAACAGATCCAATTGTTACAGAGTTTCCTCTTTCTATTTGAGGTGGAACAAGCGCACTACCATTATTTCGAATACTTTTTAGAGGGGAAAATCCAATCACTTTGGCACCTGGTTGCTTAGCTTCTGGGATGGCTTCTGGAGGACATACATCAACTTTATTTGGGTCTCTTGGTTTGTTACTAGTGTCTGAAAGATTGGTATGGATCTCTAGATGGCTTTGAGCTGGACTTCTTTCAATATTGCTATTTGGCTTCGATTTTTGGCTTTCAGTCACCTTCCTATTCTCATCAATATCTTTAGAAGACTCTCCTGAAAACATATCTTGTGATGATACGACATTCCCTTGATAATCATCCTTATTTTCTGAGACTTGGTGCTTGATCTTTCCAGCTTTTATACGCCTTTTTGCTCCATCACTGACAGCATCAGGATTTGCTATGTGAAATTGTTTTGCTTGAGTGACTGAATCATCCTCCTCACCTTCATCACCAAACTCCAGTGGAGGCTGCCAGTGAAATGTCTCTTTCGGCTTTTGGTGCTTCTTGGATTTCTTGGCCTTGGATCTGCGAGATCCTGACCTGGAAGTGTTCCTCCTTTTGTGCTTGTGCTTCCGCTTGGCTTTCTTGTGCTTGTGCTTTGAAGTTTTTGTGTCTGCAGACAGCTCCTCATTACCTTTTAATTCTTTAGACATTTCTGCACCTTGATTTGACTTGCTAGAGGTCCATAAAGGGTGTTCATACTCTGATTCTGAACTAGCCTCTCCCTCCTCTTTTTCAGACACATGTTTGGCATCACTAACTACCTTTTTGTCTGGCATTTCAGAGTCACTCTCAGTCTCCCAGCAACGAGACAAAATCTGTCTCTTTTTCATTTCAGTAAGTCCCTCATCACTAATAGGGAGTTGGTTATGTTCCAGAGCAGTATTAGTCTTACTTGAGTTCTCTCCTTCACTTTCCCATCCAGATGCATTATTGTTGTCCACTAATGGTCCTTTCCTTTGATTGGGATTTGTGCCTTTCAGTGTGTTTCTCTGTACCAAGGAATCATTGTGTCCGTGGATAGCACTGTATGGATTATCTGATGTGTTCTCTGAGGAGGGAGATGAATCTTTATGGGCACTACCATGATTTCCATGCGTGTCCCTCTTTTGGCTATTTCTGTGAGATCTACAATGTTTTCTCTTTTTTTCAGTGGTTCTTCCTTTGTATGAATTATACGACTCTGACCTACTGCAAGAGGAAGATTTGCTGCCGTACTGACTCTTTGATTTGCTGCTACTACGTGATCGAGTAGGTGAATTGCTCCTGGACAAACTGCTTTGCAGAAGCCTATCAGGAACATTATTGTTAGTGCTGCTGGGGTTCTTTTGACTAACAGCCGTGTCTGGCTTTAGAGAGGACATTGCCTCCAGAGGTACATTTGATGATGGGCTGATTAGTGCATTTGAAGCTGGGGCTGATTTTACATTGATTTCTTGAATGCGGACATAAGAGGGTTTCCATGGTTTTTGGCCTGGTTTCCAACGAGAAGGAGGTGGACTGTCACTCATAGGCAACACAGAGACACTCTCTGAAGATGCTGCTGGTTGGGCTTTAGATTCTTCACCTTGAACTGATTTAGGGACAGGCTTGTCCAATTTGGAAATACCGCCCTCTGTAGGCTTTGACTTTCGAGGGGATCTCAACTCATTTCTTTTCCTGGAACGTGGTGGGGTTTCTGAACTATACCTAGAGTTTGATCTGGTTCTTGACCTTGTCCTGTATCTGGATCGAGAACGTGACCTAGAATGTGTAACAGACCGTCCTGATCGACTATGACTTGATCTCATGGATAACCGAACCTGCTTATCAGACCTTGACCGACTTCTGGAATAAGATCTGCTCCTGGACCTTGAATAAGATCGTGAATCTCTAGAAGAGCTTGATAAGTAACGTCTCCTTTCTGATCCTATTCTATACGATCTGTGGGAGTGGCACGACGATGAGCGAGAGTAAGACTGAGAGCGTGATCGAGAATGTCTCCTCTCTGCACAGCTTGTGTGTTTCGACCTCTTGCCTGAGGACCCAGGCATCTCATTCTCAGACTGGGAGGTCTCTTTGGTCTTGTTCTTTTTATGTTTCTTTGAGTGCTTTCGTTTCTTAGTTTTCTTCTTGCGTTTGGTTTTCTTTTTTTCTTTTTTAGATCGATGATGGCTGGAATGTACAGAAGCCTCACTTAAGGAACGCTCTTCTGATCTTGACCTAGACCTTGGGGTGTCACTTCTGTCATCCCATCTGTTTGAACAATATTTAAAATACAAAATCTATGTTCCAACTATGTTTTTCACAACTTTAAACATATTTCTGAAAGCAAATGAAAAACTTAATATAAACAAAATGTACTTTAATATAAACCTTTTAATATAAACTTGGCACGTACAATCATTTTGAATATCACACTGATCATTGCACCGTTTTCAAATGGTGTAAGAGCAAACCTTTCTCCTTTACTCCATCTCTCCACACTGGGGGGCTGGTAAGCCTTGGTCCTCTGCATTTCCTCTTTCCAGTGTGGAGGAGTCTCACTGCTCCCCCGTTCCCCTTCAGACTCCGATCGGGACTTTGACCGGGGGGGTGTATGGTACCTCTGCAGAGGGAATAAAAAACGACAACCCTTCATGCATGGCAAACCAATCAAACTATCATTCCATCAAGCACTTTCTAACAAGTCAACATCAAATCATTAGAATTAAATAATTATGATAATTATTAAAGCAGCTGATATAGATTTGGGTTTGTAAAAATGCATTTTGTCTGCAGTACTTTATTTAATGTCACTCTGTGGCTTGGTTTTTTTCTGTAGGTGGTAGAAATATAATTCACGGTTGTCATACCATAGTACCGCGGCCTTTGATCTTGCGTCCAGATTTTGTGACAGTTGGTTTTGTGTCATTTGGTGCCACGACTGTGTCCTGCATGGCCCTATTGGGGGGGAAAGTATCAGTTTTAAGACTTTACCTCTTTGGTTTAATATAAATACAATATACATCAAAGCTGAGCCATGGATTTCAAGGATTAATTGTTAAGCAAGGACAAATGTTACTAAAACATGAATCGCTTTTGGTTCTATAGTAACACTTTAAATTTTGAATTTTTAGAAAATGTCAGTTATCTAATAACTGGGAATGCATAGGAAAGACTCTTGTGATGTTTAAGTGAAAAGAGGAACATCTGTTGAATTATACAAAAGACACAAACGTTTTTACTATCTCCTCCTGGGTAGGCATGTCTCTGCGAAGCAGGAAGCGGTTCTCTGGCACAGGTGGGATCTCTTCTGGTCGAACCACAGGCTTCTCCCTTTTTACATTCTGCTCAGCCTCACCATCATCTTCCTCTGCCATCTCTCCCTCAGCATGACTATGAATGGGGAAAAGAGTAGGCAGTATATTTTTATTATACAACTAAAAACAAAGGCCAACCATAAAAAAGCATGAACAAAACTAATTCATAATCAGCTCAGATTTCTAAATTATTCCTTGGTGACACCTTTGGATTTGAAAAGGTTATCAATATACTATTTTTACTGTGACTGTGATATAGCTGAAAAGTGTCAGTGCAGGCTAATACCAAATGTGTTATTGCTTTAGATCATTGGCTGGATTACAAATAAAATTGCATAAGAGGAAAAGGCACTGGTTACAATCATTTACCTTTCATGTCCTGCTGTTTTAACTGTCTCTCTGTCCTTCTTTGTCTCTCTTCTTTTTCTCTTTGAGTGCTTACTCTTCGAGTTTCTTTTCCTCTTTCGAGATGCATAATTTTTGTCAGACTCTCCATCAGAGAAGGAATACTGAGATGAAGACTCCAAAGAACTCGGAGAGTCATCCTCAGAATGGAAGGCTTTCCTCCTTTTGCCTTGAAGAACTACAGAGATAAAACAAACTTCAAAACGTCTGAAAATGTACTGAACATCACCACAGAATGGAATTTCTGACTACATTATCAATGCGAAGTGCACGTGAATTTATTTTGAACTGGAGCTTTGTGTGCATGGCACTAAATAAAACATAAACTTATAATGAACAACACTAGCTGTGTCCCAAATGATGCACTATACACTATGCACTTATTCTATGAACTATGCATTTAACTGTCTAGTGTATGAATTATATAAGCTTGCTCTGTCATCCAACATCAGTCTAATAGCCCTTGCCCTTCCAGTAACTAATTAAAGATGCGACAGTTAAGTGTCCAACTTTCCACACTTAATTAACATTTTTTCCTGTTAATTAAGAGCATCATCCAGGTTTTTTCTTTTTGGAATGAGAACACACTAATCACACTATTTATACTAAAAACCATCAGATAATTGTACACAAGTATGCAAATTGGAACACACATACTATGTCCAAACCAAGCACATTACAAGTAAAAAGTGAAAAATACAACGTAACAAATGTTATATATAAGATACATCTGTAAGAATTAGGATTTTGAACCAGTGAGATTTCACTTTGGGCAGCACTACCCAGAATGACATGATCAAAATACAATTCAAGTGACTGGCAAAATGTCTTGTTGCACATCATTTGCTGTGGGTGGTTAGGGCAAAAACTCTAACCACCTGTGACTGTTACTTGATGCTTTGTAGCGTCATGCCTGGTTAGGACACAGTGTAAGTGTGTGTATTAAAATTGGTGTCTGCTGTATTTCAAAGCACCTGTCATTTTGTTTTATGATCTTTCACAGTTCCATTTTTAAACACCATATTTCACTCCATAATGTAGTTGATGTGGAGATTAAAAAATATTCTCCATTAGGTAAAGACAAGTTCAAACAGCATAGTGACAGGCGGAAAGAGTGCAGACAAAATTTCTAGTTTATATTTCACACTCAAGAACAAGCTTACCATCGTTAGCAGACTTTGTAATCAGCTGTCCACAGTCAATCACTCTGACGTCAGCATAGGGTCTGCTGGCTGAGTCGGTCTTCAGCCCTTCAATTTTCTTTATGACCTCGAAGCCAGAGATGACCAGCCCGAAGACCACATGCACTCTAAATTAGACCAACAATCCTTACAGTTACAAGAAATTGTGGGATTTAGGGAAAAAGCTTGCATCCAAATTATCTTATAATAAATAAATGATGAATGAACAGTTTATTTTTTAATTATTTGCTCCTACAGTATTGCTTGAACAGATATACAACATACATAAATGGTTAAACAAAGCCACTTGATCATTACCCATCTAGATGAGGCGCTGTCTTAGTAGTTCTGTTGTCAGGTAAACGAGTCCAGGTCATCCAACAGGGACATGTGGTGAGGGGGGATAAAAGGAAATACATTTAGTCAAAAAAGCATTCAGTCTGTCATCAAGAAGAAATTTGTATGCATCAATTCAAACACTGAGGAATTTAAAACCAGCAGTGCTTGCACAATAACATTGGCTGGATGAATAAATTCTAATGATGAACAGGAACAGGTCCAACATCTGCCAACATTATTCTGACAAAACCATAAAATATTATAGGGACAACTTCAATTAGAAATCAGTGTTTCCATAGCAGGAAAATACATCCTGTGATTCTAAACTTGAAATACATCAATAAAGACTTCAAGGTTCTCTGTGCTGGGAGAACAGATTTTTATGAGGTGAAAATTATTTAATGATAAATAAGAAGCCAGTACTAGCTACAAGCAACCAGAAATACACAGTCAGGAGAGAGAAGCACAGCCTTGGAGAGACACTTTACCTTGGTAGAGCAGGATGCTAGAGTTTCTGCAAATTTTACACAAAAACGGCAAGAGAAAAATTGTAATACATTTGTAGGCAAAAAAGGACTGCTTTCTGATTATAAAATATTTCTAAATGCACATTGACAAGGGAAAAGGGAGATGAAAATGCACCAGCATCCCACATGAACATGTAGACTATGTAGAGTCTCCAAAACAAAAATATATGTGGTAAAGAGATTGAGGAGATTAGAGAGAGTGTGAACAGCAAAGTGGGAAGATGATTGTTTTACTAAATAAAGAAGTAGACAGAACAAATAAAATGTTCCATCTTCACCATCTTGCTTTACTATTGAAAATCACTAGTGGTCTTTAAAAATTGTATTGCTGTGTCAACAAATTGTGAGTGACATAAGTATGAGTAAGTATTTAAGCAAGTACAACACTTCAAAGTTAAGATAAGTTGGGTCAATGCTCTTTGTGGTATTGGCCAATCTCTTAAAACAGATACAGGCTTTCAAGCGCATTTTATTATAAAGGCTATGAATGAAGCAAAATAGTTCTGTAGAACTGATCTGAACGCTGGGGGAATATATAATTTATACGTATTGCATGTGCCATTTAATAGTGACCAGTAAGTCATATTAAATGGTAAGCAGAAGATCTGGTGATGAATGGTTGTTTCTACATACACATACACCCTCTCTGTGTCTTATACCAGAGTAAATAGCACTTACATAAAGAACTGGGACCCATTTGTGTCTTTGCCACGGTTGGCCATCGACAAGAGGAAGGCTCTATCATGTTTGAGAGTAAAGTTCTCATCTGTTGAAGAGAAATACGAAAAAAAAGGACACTGAGTGCTTGTCGACTGCTTCAAAAAGTTGTGTTATGGAGAAGGACAGGAGCAGGCAAAGAGATGTTCATGAACACCTGATATCAGTGATGCTTCTATGCTGCTTCTGAACTCTTGAGTGTTTCTCGTGCTCTTTAGTGTAAAAGCGAGTGATTTTCTATTAAAACAACTACTGTTCACATCAAAATCTTTGATCAAGTTGGGCCGAATTATTTCGAAAAAGGAATAGTTCACCCAAAACTGAAAATTCTGTCATTAATTTCTCATTCTCATGTCATTTCAATCCAGTTGATTTACTTTTTTCTGTGGAACACAAAAGGAAAAATTGGTCATCAAATATAGCTCTTTTCCATGCGGTTTTGATGCTTCAAAAAAGATGAAAAAGATCCATAAAAGTTTTAAAAAGTAGTATTGTAAAAGTTAATTGCAATTGCTTGTAAAAGATTGACCTGCACATTATTTACATTTTCTTTTTTCTTCTACTAAAGAAACTAAGGCATGTAGGGTTTGGAACAACATGAGAGATTAATAAATGACCTTTCTGGTTAAACTAAACCCTTTTAAAGGTTGGATTATGTTCAAGAGTATTGTATTTTATGTCAACCCATCCTGGAAAATTAAGAAAGAAACAAAATAAAACATCAAAGAAAAGAAAAAAAGAGAAGTCAGTTAACCAAATCAATTTCATGGTCCATATATCCATGAGCACTCTGTGCAGCGTGGACGTTTTTGGCATGGTTCACATAAGGGATTGGAGAATGTTTAGTCTAGGGCTGTGCAATTAATCGCATGCGATTGTCATGCGCATCTTGTCAGTAAAGGCGATTCCATGATTGGTAGTAAATTGCCATCACCTGCTTTCAGATTGAGCGGCATTTACTACACAGAGCCGTAGTTCACTGACAAGCTAGGCAATATCGCATTCATAATCGAATGCGATTCATCTGCGATTAATTGCACAGCCCTAGTTTAGTCTACATTGTGTTACTGCACTGTGTACATCTCTTACCTTCTCATTTTGCAAAAGACCACAATCTCTATAAATAAAAGAATATGTTGAAAATTTTAGGCAAGAAGACTGGACCTTTAAATAAATAAATAGCCCTTATTCTCCATGCTGACTCAAATAGAAGATCATTATAAGATCACAGGAATAAAACAAGAGTCAAGATTCACAGCTACAGTGAGATAAAAACAATGACTGGTAATTCATGCACAGAACTGAGATGCCCATTCAAAAGTCATGCAAAAGTTGTTTAAACACTCAAATTAGAACAAAACGTATCTAAAAATGGCTTACCTTCAAAGAAACCACCATATATAGATTCTCCTCCTCTTCCATTGCCTGAGCAAACAAAATCACATTCACTCACAAGAACAGGCAATAGAATATAACAAGTAAAGGCATAAACACTTAGGCTAAGGCACCACAGATATTTCTATCTCCACATATCCAAATCAATGAGTACAACTGCACATACCCTCAGTGAAATCACCCCCCTGGATCATGAAGTTCTTTACCACTCGATGGAAAGTTGAGCCTTTATAGCATAATTTTTTCCCTGTAGTTTTGCCACTGCTTTTCTCACCTGCAAGTAAACCAAAGAAACACACAGTTTATAATTACTTGTATGTAACAGACCTAGTATGTACCAGCCATAAACCAAACCAAAAAACAAGATTTCACAGACTAAGCTGTTAAAAATGTAGATACTAATACTGTAAAGTACTGTATTCTGAATTGAACTACTGGGGTGTATTCCAGAAAGCACGGTTAACTTATCATCTGTTAAACCCCGAACTCTCGGTTGATTAACCCCAAACCTTGCTTACTCGAGGTATGTGGTTCCAAAAATGCGTCCAGGAGTAAGTTCATTCAACACAGAGTATGTTCCTGATTAAAACTCAAGACATTCTCAACAGAGCGACGAATCGACGAGTCGTTATGGAAATGGACGCTAAGAAAAAGCGCTCCATGCTGTTTCTTTCTTCTTCTTTTGTTCAATGGTCATTTACATGCTTAGTGCATATCGCCACCTAATCGATGGTTGTGCAATCATTTTTCTTTTTTTCCGTTTACTCTTTAATCCTTGAGAATAAAAATGATATTGTTTGTTTGATGCTAATTATATATTAAGTCATATCAGATATGTATTTTTATTATAGAAATACATTATAAAAAATGCCGATCCATGTGTGTGATGATAATATAAAATTTAATAAATATATATAATATAGTAAATTAAACATTACCTTGTCATAATAGTGTTTTATAATTTATACAGATAACTGATATGCCAATAAAATATAGTAACCATATTAATTAGATACAATAGTTTTATATATATATATATATATATATATAAGGCAATATACATAACTGTATTGTACTAATATATAATATTGTGTGCTATCTGTCACGCCCACTGAAGGCTCGTTAGTAGATCATGCATGCGCTGATAGCACTGAAGTGAACTAACTAACCCTAGAACATAACCTGCTCCAGAGGTTATCCGCTCGCTTATCCTCAAGCATACCCGGGTATGTCACATAACCTGCTTTTTGGAATACCCCCCTGGACTGAGTCCTGAAGTCTACAGTTACACAGACAGCAAAAGGTTAATCCTATCTGATCAGCATGGAAGAGATGCCAATAAAACTGAAATGAATACGGGTGGGTGATGGTGTGTGTGCCCTGGGGATTGGTATATATTCGATACAACAGTCAGCTGAAGGCATGTGTCTCTCATTTCAATCTCAGTTGGTGAGAAAAAAAGATCCCCGCATTGACCCAAAGCATTACTAACTGTAATTTATGACCAAACCTTCTCAATGCAGACCAATGCAGCTTTTGTCTTCTAGGAACAGGCTGTAAATACAGCTTTGGTTCATTCTTCAGTGCTGTCAGCAAAACACCTGCACTTTTCGTTACACAGCCAGAATTTAGTCACCTCCAGGTTTATTTTTGTGCTATTGCCCTATAAGCTTATGCTTGTACAAGAGGATATGAATGGATATTATATTAAGGTTAGTTAGTTGGTTGGTGTTATGCCAGCTTCCTTGGCTATTATCAATGTGATTAACATGTTGAAACAGCCATTTAAAAACCTATATTAGGTTTTTATAGTTTATTTGAGATAAAACCTCTAAAATGGGTTCAAGGTTGACTCTGTAAAAAATTTGAGTATGTTTGTGAAATAATATAATTACCTAAGAGAATATTGGTCAAAGCAGTTTTTTACAGGTTTAAAGTCAAAGTCTAGCATGATAAAACACCTCATGTCAAGTATACGTACCAGTGCACAGGCAAAGAAAATTTTTGCTTGTCTTGGGACAAATATCGGAGAACAGTTGAAAGACAATTCGTCCAACTGGAAGAAAGCAAAATAAATCATTATACTTGTCCTTTTAAAGGTTGGATTATGTTCAAGAGTATTGTATTTTATGTCAACCCATCCTGGAAAATTAAGAAAGAAACAAAATAAAACATCAAAGAAAAGAAAAAAAGAGAAGTCAGTTAACCAAATCAATTTCATGGTCCATATATCCATGAGCACTCTGTGCAGCGTGGACGTTTTTGGCATGGTTCACATAAGGGATTGGAGAATGTTTAGTCTAGGGCTGTGCAATTAATCGCATGCGATTGTCATGCGCATCTTGTCAGTAAAGGCGATTCCATGATTGGTAGTAAATTGCCATCACCTGCTTTCAGATTGAGCGGCATTTACTACACAGAGCCGTAGTTCACTGACAAGCTAGGCAATATCGCATTCATAATCGAATGCGATTCATCTGCGATTAATTGCACAGCCCTAGTTTAGTCTACATTGTGTTACTGCACTGTGTACATCTCTTACCTTCTCATTTTGCAAAAGACCACAATCTCTATAAATAAAAGAATATGTTGAAAATTTTAGGCAAGAAGACTGGACCTTTAAATAAATAAATAGCCCTTATTCTCCATGCTGACTCAAATAGAAGATCATTATAAGATCACAGGAATAAAACAAGAGTCAAGATTCACAGCTACAGTGAGATAAAAACAATGACTGGTAATTCATGCACAGAACTGAGATGCCCATTCAAAAGTCATGCAAAAGTTGTTTAAACACTCAAATTAGAACAAAACGTATCTAAAAATGGCTTACCTTCAAAGAAACCACCATATATAGATTCTCCTCCTCTTCCATTGCCTGAGCAAACAAAATCACATTCACTCACAAGAACAGGCAATAGAATATAACAAGTAAAGGCATAAACACTTAGGCTAAGGCACCACAGATATTTCTATCTCCACATATCCAAATCAATGAGTACAACTGCACATACCCTCAGTGAAATCACCCCCCTGGATCATGAAGTTCTTTACCACTCGATGGAAAGTTGAGCCTTTATAGCATAATTTTTTCCCTGTAGTTTTGCCACTGCTTTTCTCACCTGCAAGTAAACCAAAGAAACACACAGTTTATAATTACTTGTATGTAACAGACCTAGTATGTACCAGCCATAAACCAAACCAAAAAACAAGATTTCACAGACTAAGCTGTTAAAAATGTAGATACTAATACTGTAAAGTACTGTATTCTGAATTGAACTACTGGGGTGTATTCCAGAAAGCACGGTTAACTTATCATCTGTTAAACCCCGAACTCTCGGTTGATTAACCCCAAACCTTGCTTACTCGAGGTATGTGGTTCCAAAAATGCGTCCAGGAGTAAGTTCATTCAACACAGAGTATGTTCCTGATTAAAACTCAAGACATTCTCAACAGAGCGACGAATCGACGAGTCGTTATGGAAATGGACGCTAAGAAAAAGCGCTCCATGCTGTTTCTTTCTTCTTCTTTTGTTCAATGGTCATTTACATGCTTAGTGCATATCGCCACCTAATCGATGGTTGTGCAATCATTTTTCTTTTTTTCCGTTTACTCTTTAATCCTTGAGAATAAAAATGATATTGTTTGTTTGATGCTAATTATATATTAAGTCATATCAGATATGTATTTTTATTATAGAAATACATTATAAAAAATGCCGATCCATGTGTGTGATGATAATATAAAATTTAATAAATATATATAATATAGTAAATTAAACATTACCTTGTCATAATAGTGTTTTATAATTTATACAGATAACTGATATGCCAATAAAATATAGTAACCATATTAATTAGATACAATAGTTTTATATATATATATATATATATATATAGTAGGCAATATACATAACTGTATTGTACTAATATATAATATTGTGTGCTATCTGTCACGCCCACTGAAGGCTCGTTAGTAGATCATGCATGCGCTGATAGCACTGAAGTGAACTAACTAACCCTAGAACATAACCTGCTCCAGAGGTTATCCGCTCGCTTATCCTCAAGCATACCCGGGTATGTCACATAACCTGCTTTTTGGAATACCCCCCTGGACTGAGTCCTGAAGTCTACAGTTACACAGACAGCAAAAGGTTAATCCTATCTGATCAGCATGGAAGAGATGCCAATAAAACTGAAATGAATACGGGTGGGTGATGGTGTGTGTGCCCTGGGGATTGGTATATATTCGATACAACAGTCAGCTGAAGGCATGTGTCTCTCATTTCAATCTCAGTTGGTGAGAAAAAAAGATCCCCGCATTGACCCAAAGCATTACTAACTGTAATTTATGACCAAACCTTCTCTAGTTTTATATATATATATATATATATATAGTAGGCAATATACATAACTGTATTGTACTAATATATAATATTGTGTGCTATCTGTCACGCCCACTGAAGGCTCGTTAGTAGATCATGCATGCGCTGATAGCACTGAAGTGAACTAACTAACCCTGGAACATAACCTGCTCCAGAGGTTATCCGCTCGCTTATCCTCAAGCATACCCGGGTATGTCACATAACCTGCTTTTTGGAATACCCCCCTGGACTGAGTCCTGAAGTCTACAGTTACACAGACAGCAAAAGGTTAATCCTATCTGATCAGCATGGAAGAGATGCCAATAAAACTGAAATGAATACGGGTGGGTGATGGTGTGTGTGCCCTGGAACTCTTTAAAATTAATGCAACATCTCTGCGTTTAAAATAGTTTTCAGTCGTGGATAGTTGCAGATTTATTTTCAATGAAACATGCTGAATAGCACTGTAATATGCTATATCTGACATTTGTTTTCTTTTAAGTAGTGTAGAAGAGAAAATAAGTCAAATTAAGCGGTAACACTTAATAAGGTCTATTAGGTTACAGTATTTAATAATCTACACTATTTAATAATTCATCCCCCAGTTTCACAGACAAGGCTTAAGCCTAGTCCTAGACTAAAATGTAAGCCTGAGCCGTTTCAAATGAAAGAAACTAGCACTGACTGATCTTAAATAATATCAGTGCCTTTGTTTTGTCTCAAGATGCACACCAGTAATGTTTTTTTTTTCTAAGGCACGTTTATCAAAATTACTTAAATGTCCTAAAGCCCTGTCTGTGAAACTGGGCCCATAATTGTTAACATTAGTTAATAAAAAATACAACTGTTCGTTGTTAGTTCACGTGAGCCCAGATCAATTAAACGATATTTACAGATACAACCTTTGTTTTTAATAATGAATGTTTTAGTAAATGTTGTATTAGTAATGTTTATTACTAATACAACATTGACAACATTTTAATGTTGCATTATGTTTACTTCTAGTTTAGACTGCATCCACAGCTGCAGCTATAGTTTTGAAAATAGCATCCCTTTTCTCCATCCTTTTTGTCAGACATGCTTTATAACAAGTGATGTAATTGCTATTTCATAATAAACATCAGTATGTTCTTTGTGTTTTGTGTTTAGGATGTGTTCTCATAGAGACCCACGAGGAGCATGTCACTGATCCTGTTTGCCTTTGTGGTCCGGGTCAGGGATGGACTCCCTCTCTCTGCCTCCACTGATTTCCTGCATAACAAGGAACTTCAGGAGAGAAAGCAACAGCTGAAAGTGATCTCAAAATCCCTGTGTTCATTACCTGAGAGAGGGACAGTCAAGGGCCATGAGCTCAACATTCAGTAAGTGCACTATTGTGGACAATAATGTCTCTTGGTAATTAAAGATCTGGGCAGGAAACCAAAAAAAGAAAAGTCTTCAGGTTCAAACCTGTGTGATACAGGAAGTATTGTGTCCTTGAGCAACCCTTGAGTATTGTTTGATTGTTTTTAATAAATTAGTATGCTAAATTGAAATTACTGATATTTCTCATGATATTAAAATCTTAAAAATCGAAGGGCTTATGCTTAAATTATGCTTTTTAGACATAAGTTGTCCATACACTTTTTAAAATAAAGGTTCCTTATTGGCATTGATGGTTCCATGAAGAAGCTTTAATACCCATTCATGCATTTTTAAAATGAAAGATTCCAAAAGTGGGTTTTCACAGTGATACCACAGAAGAACCATTTTTGGTGCCCCAAAGAGCCTTTCGGTAAACAGTTCTTTAAAGATCCATTTTTCCTTAACGTGAAGAACATTTTAATAATCTAAAGAAAGTTTTTCCACTATAAAGATCATTTGTTCAATGGTTCCATGGATATTTAAAAAAAAAGAGAGGTTATTTTAAGAACTATTCACTAAAAGGTTCTTGGGGAACCAAAAATTGTTCTTCTATAGCAGTGTTTCCCAACCTTTTTTTAGTCGTGGCACCCTTTGGAAATTGTAACAAATTTGTGGCACCCTACAAAATTAATTTTGTCACAATATTTGAATTTCTAACATCGATATGATAATTTGAAAAGTATAGATATTGGGTACAGCAGGGAAGAGCTGCAGAATATAATGTCATACAGATATTTTTAATATTATTTAAAAAATTGTCCATCAATGGTGGCAATCAGTAGGCTAATTTCTAATGAAGAGACCAATTTATATGACAGATTTTTATGTTGGCTTTTATACATATGTAAACATTATTTAATTACCATTATAAC